ATTTTTTATTTTTGAGGAAGAAATATTATTATTATTACACATACTTAACACATTGGACAAACTACAAAATAATGTATAAATTTGTTTTTACAAACTAACAAAATAAAATAATGGTCACTCATCCCACTTTATTTATATGATTATTTAGCTAGCAGCTGATTATTAGTACTTAAATAGCTGAAATTCTATCAGAAATCAGAGTTTAAAGAAAAATGATTACAATTGAAAATAATATATACAATATATATTATATACATAATATATCGAAATAGTTTCTACAAAAKTTAATAATTTAATATTTAATTTACCTACAAGAAACATATTATGGTAGAAACATTTATTTACAGTTTTGGGTTTCAAAATATAAGTTAAGAACATCTTATATTCCTGTTCACCGTTGTGTCCATTCGTTAATTACCAGTACTGYACTAGCAGTACATACCTATAATTACGATTATTGAATGTTGATGATAAGATATTTATTAGTTCAGTAAAGCTGACCCCATGYATTTCGTTGCCCGTTAATAATGCCAACTCTATGTCTCTACTCTCTATATGATTCAAAACTTAAAAAATGTCTACTATTTCCATTATAATCTGTAACCCATAGGCGCAAATAGGGGGGAAGCTTAGGGGGTATTAGCACCCCCAATTTTAAAATTAGCACCCTCAAATAATGATCGTGCTTATGTATCAAAAACTTCTTCTTTCAAAAAAAAAAAAAACTAAAATGACAAAATGCATAGCATAAGCACCCTTAGTTTTTTTTATTGAAATTGCGCCTATGCTGTAACCTGCAATGACTAAAACTAATTATTAACAAAAACAAAATATTTGATTTTCATCGACAATCGTGAATCTTAAAATATACTTTTGAAAGCATCTTTTTAAAATATGAATTTTGGAAATTTTTTCCTTATTTAAAACATTTAGAATAATAACAACTAATAACTTATTGAACAAGATTTAATATTATTGATTCATACTACCAAAAAGCTACTACCAAAATATCAAGGTTACCAAATTATGTTAAAATTGTATTTGAAATGATTACTGTAGTTAATTGCTATCTATTAAAATAAGTTTGTTAAACGGAAATTTAGTATGCTCTAAGAGTGAGCTTTCTTAACTTAATTACTTTTTAATACTGTATAATATTTTTACTAACTAAAAAAATGTAGTTAATTGAATATATTGGGTTTTGTACACCAACCGTTAGCAACACGTATGTTTCGTTCTCGGTGTTCACAAAATACTGATGTTATTTTATTTTTTGTTAATGTTTACAATGCAAGCAATGGCTTATCGGACGAATAGTAAGTTTTTATAAATAAACATATTTTATGTGGGTCTTACTCAAACTGACCGAATTGCATAATGTATAAATATATGATATAGCYGGTGCAAATCCACTCAAATTATAACAGTCGATGATAATATATTTGAACTTAAATACAATACCTACAATAATAGGACCTTGAAGACTTGAAACATAATAAATAATAATATAATAACGGAGTTGCAAATAAACAATGATAAATTATAATTTCAGATTTTTTAAATTAATGCTATAAGTGTACGAAATAATTTTTGAGCCTGCCTTAAAAAACAAACCAAAATGCAAAAGAAGTATCGARAACTATGAACTTATATACAAATCCATGAACTACATTCAATAACAATATCATGATTCGAAAAAAAAATAATAAATTTGGAACTAGAAAAATCTAAGGGACACTCAGTGGCGTGCGCAGGGGGGGATGATGGGGGATATATCCCCCCATGGGTTTTTTTTTTAGTCTTCTAACGAGTGGATTTTGGATCTCTAGTTCATCAACATAAACATAATACATTTTTATTTATGACATCCCCCCCCCCCATACCAAATTCCTGCGCACGCCACTATCCAAAACTTTAGCTAAAGGTGACATTAAAATACTAATGGACAGAGCACACCAACTTCGTCGATCTATAAAAGTATTAGAAGTGATACAAATAGTTGAGTATCACTTTTATTAAGCAAAAACAAGAAAAAAAGTTTCAGATGGTAATTCGTGGATCGTGGATTACATACAATAACCGTCTCCTCTGAAAATGAATTTGTCCGAACTATAGCTGATTTTGTATACCACATAGATTATAAAGTTATGAAATTCTAATTTWAAAAAAAAAYTGGCCCAAACAACAATGGCGGTGATCTAACTACTGTAAGTTAATCATTATTTTTTGTGGATTTGGAGCCATAGGCGGAAATGAGGGGGCTTAGCCCCCTCCACACCCAAAAAAAATTTCTATGGATTTCCGTCTATGTTTGGAGCCACAACTCACAAGCACAGTGAAATAATGCAATTCTTGCACAATTTTCAATCTCACTCAAAACTATCATAAATAACGAAAAAATTAACAGCTCTAATTTCAAAAACTCACTTCACTGCGTGGACCACTCGAAAGTAATTTTATAGTTTAATTATTATTTGTGTTAAAAGTTATTATTCACAGGATATACTGGCRTACCATGTAATGTGAACTACACATCTGATAAGTTACTGATAAGTTATCGTCAGGATCGCCAAATAAAATATAATTAACTATCGACTACTACATTTATTTTCAGATTAAAAATTAATAATTCATAAATTGTGATTTACTATCAATTTATAAATAAAATAATGTTAATACTAATAATACTCTCACAAATTATTCGTTACACACCGAATAATAATTTCCTGTTCCTCATAACAGATTTCGTATATTACACAAAATGTGGTGTTTTACACACAGAAATAGGACCTGCGGCCTGATGAGCACTACCCAAAAAACAACTTGAAAACTTGACGATATTCTCGTCTACATAATGTACCATCCTATTATAATATTACATCTTAAGTGTGCGTATTATATTACTACACAATAAACATTGTAAGTACAAAAATAACACAAATATATTAACAGTTACGATCGCTCACTCTCGCTTGAGCACTGGTGTATGTATATACGTATATTACATTAGTTTTACTAAAACAAAAAAGTTTCAAATACTTAATATATATATATATATGATATTATAATAGCCAAACGAGGTATCTAAACTCGGAAAACATAATCATTAAGGCTTGAGTGTTGATGGCTTTTAATTTTTATTTTAGGAACGTATTTTACAMACACACACACATATGCAGTGGCATTGATAACCTAATTTATCTATATTCATGGTAATTTTTTGTTTTGGGGCCACCATAGGCCCTATGACATAGAGTATTGCAGGGATCCCGATTTGGATCTAGAATTTACGTATTAAAACGTGAAAACAAGTGATTAAATTAAACTTTTCATTATGTTAGTGCTTTATGATTTGCATCTGATTGTTAAATTAAAAAARGTGGGATATCCTATCCCCAGCTCCTTCGTGTACTATGTCAAAGTATATTTTAAATACTTCTGCATACGAGTATATAATATTTAATATAATAATAAAAGGTATACTCGTATACCTACTGCAATAATATTATATTATACGAATATACATAGTTGGTCCCTGTGACAAAGGCGCAAATGAAGAGTGGCTTAGAGGATATTAGCACCCCCAATTTTAAAATAACCTCCCTCAAATAATGTACGTGCTTATTCAAAAACTTCTTCCTACAAAAAAAAAATTAAAATTAGAAAATGCATAGCTTATAGCACCCTTAGATTTTTTTTATTGAAATCGCGCCTATGCCTGCGAGCCGTTCTCTAATCTTCGTATGAACGAGGCACATACCTCATCACTACAGCAACAGCATATATATATTATATATATATATATATATATGTTACATACAATGTCCGGAATTGTACATTTCGCAATTTGTATACAGTGATTTTTGTACACATCGCGAATTGTACAATGTTGCTGTACAAAGTAACTAGATTGTATACAAGTTTCATTATACAATTCGCGATGTGTACAAAAATCACTGTATATACAAATTGCGAAATGTACAATATTCCGGACATTGCAAGGTAATATTATATAGGATGCGGCGTAGGTCTTATGATATTCTACTCGGATCATAATATTCTATATACCTACCCGCGCGTGATGACGTCAAAACAACAACTGCATTCTGCAGACCGCCACGGGCTTACACAGCTATCTATTTATTATATTATTATAATATTAAAACACGCATAATATGAAAGGTGACCGCGAAACAAACCGTACGATAATATATTAAGTGTTATCCCGCATACCTATATGATATTATAATATCGAAGGTGTATTATATATATATAATATATATATACCTATATATATATATATAGTAGTAACCTACAGCACAAACCGAGTGAAACGGATTTTACAGTGCTCTGATAGTCTGATGCAGTGTTTTGGCAGCAGGTAAAGTCGGTAAAACTGCAGTCGGATTAGTGTACCATCGTTCGCCAGTCTTTTCTATATTATTACTATTATTTTAGGTTCCGAGATCTTGCATACCATAATAATATCGTGTTTGACATGGTGGCGCGTATTTGGCGCTCCAGAGGCGGCCCCGCACGAGTAAACTTTGATCCCATTGTGTCGCCGCGACCCGTAACCGATGTATAAACATTTCACAGTGCCACATCGTCATATATCATCATCACGTTGTGCGCCATATAACATGTATTATCGCTGTGGTCTTGTCGACTTTWAGTATTATTTATTATTATTATTTATATATTTGATATATAGTGCGTACCTATTGTGTATATAATATTATGATGCGATGATGTAACAAGCGCATTGCACGCACACGCCACCGCCGCGTCGCACCGACCGAGTAATAATAATAATATAATATCATATATTGTGCAGGTATTATAAGGGTTCGATGTGTTACATAATACATATACATATATATATTTATATATAGGTAATATATGATTATTTTCCTTTAGAGATTTCGGTGCGAAAATAAAAGTATAGGTAGGTTAGATTTTATTATTACGCGCAACAATATTGTACATGTCCCGTTGTGCGTCCGATCATGGCTCAACGAACATTGCAGTAAGGGTGCTGATGGTATTGCGTATTATATGGGTACTGTAAATAGTTGAATATAATAATATACGCATACCTACAGATGAGTAATAAATTATATTATTGTACTTCTTCGAGATACGTCACGTTTTCTTCGACAAAGTCGGCAGATTATATACTACTTAACTCGCCCGATCACAAAACTCACCACCACCGCCGAATGACATTGTACATTATTTATTTATTTATTGTATACCAGCAGTGTAGGTATTACATTTTTATTTTCAAGTTTTATTTGTGATACGAATAAAAGTGGAGCCCACGCCAAGTCATATACTACATAATAGGTACAAGGACTGTCTATAGGTATATTATTGGAAACTAAGAACTAACTATATTGGTTGAACGTGGATCGTGATCATTGATTATAGATATAAGATATAGATATATCTAYATAATATAATATAAAAAATCTATACGCTTTGAACATACCTATAATATTATAATATTATGTATTTAATATATAAAACGTATAGTGTAGTAGGGACCCCTTAAGAAAGGAGGGTTCAAGACACATGATACTGGGACCTGTACTTTCGAAGCGCCCAGCGTTCATGCATAAATAATTACTTCGATATATACTAGAAAAATGTTTAAAAATTGATTTTTATTTAAGAGGAGCTAGGATTTAGATCTGTACCAGGGCCAAAGATATGATGTGTGTGGTCTGTAGTGTAGTAATGTATAGTATACAATATACTAAACGACTATTTCGAGCTGATGAATATYATATGAATCGCCAAGTTTGTGCCTGAATATTATATAAAAAGTGTTGAAGATAAGTTAGGTACCTGTGTTAAAGTTATATATAWATATATAATGGTTTTATTATGCAATGAACACAATATTATTAATTAAAAAATCCACAACCAATAACCATGACTGACTCATGGAAACAAAATAAAATAGTAGGCATAAAGTAACTACTCCGGTGCAGGTACAGATTATACGTACATTAGGTGTCGAGTGTATTCATCATTGAGTTATAGGTAGTAAACTGCAATGGATGTATGAAATTGTAATTCAATTATAAAAAACGTGTTTTATTATAATATTGCTATTAAAGTAGTTTTAGGTATCTATAAATTATAATATGTGTTTCAAACACAGTGTTTGTAATGTAGRGGAAAATCCAAATAAGTATATAAGTATATTTAAGTCATAAAAAAAAAAAATAATTAGTTACTCAATTTCACGTAACTATAACTAAAATATCTTCTTAAAAAAAGGAGAGGATGAGAAGTGGGATGAGGATTAATCGATTGAATCTTGGATAGGCATCAGTGGCTATATAAAGTATATTTGTCCAGTTAACAATTTTAGCGACCCTTAAAATGTATGTCTATTATTTGGGGCTCTATTTACTCAAGTACACTATTATATATGTAGTAAAAGTAAAATAATATTTCTATTTAACTCAGAAATGCGCCAAAATGAGTATAATGTTTATACATTTATAATAATATTATATATTAAGTTACGTATGTCCACATAGATACGACACATCACGATATCATAATTTTCTACGTCAGTAGCCGTAGATCGATTGAAAATAACGCAACAATTATTATAGTTGATTATTAGTGCCTATAATTAATTTTGTATCAGATATTTTAGTTTTTGGGACTGCTTTGCATCATATTTCATAGAATATACCACCAAAATATGTATTATCAATAAATATTACATACGAATTCAATATTCTTTAATATATTTATAAGTGCACTTATGTCTTACTATATACCTATTTAATTATAATGAGTTATTAATAACATGCATACAAAAAATATCGGTATAAATAACAGCAGACTACTAATGTTTTCATCAAAGATAGTTAAGAAGATTTTTTTCTATTTATAGATAGGTAAGTCTTAATACTGATTGTAGATAAGCGATCTTAAGAAAAATACCTAGTTGGTATAAGCAACGACATCTAGATGACAATTATTGCACGTTAAGAGGACGCTACACCAAAAGTGAAACGCATACAACGGCCAAGAGAACGCGCTGTTAAGTGTTTTCGCAATGCGCAGGCACGCGGCGTTTAAGCCACGCCCACTACTCGTAATCAGCGTTCGGCCGACAATAAATTGTGCTCATTCTGGAGCGATGTTTATTATTTTCTCAACCTTCGTCAGCGACGGAACTAGTAAATATGCGGTGCATGCATATTACGTCACATTGTCACTGTACCTACACGGCTTGTATTTATTGCATTATTTCAATACATACTTCATAAAAGATATATTCAACACCGTGAATAATATCTAATTTATAACTGTAACCTAAACTTATATTACCTTAAATATTAGTTTTTAGATTCTGAACGAAGTGATGAATGTATTGATTTTACAATGATGTGTGTTTTTTTTTTTGTTTTTGTTTTT